ATCTTTTCTGCTCCAGTCTCAACCTACTAAGTTCCTTCAACCTCTCTCATAGGACTTGCTTGCAAGACTCCCAACTGTCTCGACCACCTCAGAACATAAGAACATAAGAAAAGTCATGCTGGATCAGGCCCAAGGCCCATCCAGTCCAACAATCTGTGTCACACAGGGGCCAAAACCCAGGGGCCATCAGGAGGTCCACTGGTGGGGCCAGAACCCCAAAAACCCTCCCACTGTTGCTGCCCAAGCCCCAAGAACACAGAGCATCTCTTCCCCAGAAATAAGAACACAAGGGAAGTCATGTTAGATCAGGCCATATGTTCATCCAATCACCTCTCAAAGCTGTCTATGCTTGTATCCACCACTATTCATTGCCACAGGAGGTGGTGGCAGCTACAAGCATGGACGGCTTCAAGAGGTAATTGGATAAACATATGGAGCAGAGGTCCATCAGTGGCTATTAGCCACAAGGTATAGATAGGAACTCTGGGGCAAGTGATGGTCTGTATTTTTGGTTCCTGGGGAGGGCAACAGTGGGAGAGCTTCTAGTGTCCTGGCCCAACTGATGGACCTCCTGATGGCACCTGGTATTTTTGGCCACTGTGTGACAGAGTGTTGGACAGAAGGTCGGTAGTTCGAGACCCTAGTGCGGCATGATGGAGTGAGCGTCCGTCTCTGGCCCCAGCTCCTGCCAACCTAGCAGTTCGAAAGCAAGAAATTGCAAGTAGATAATAGGTACCACTTCGGTAGGAAGGTAACAGCGTTCTGTGTGCCTTGGCGTTTAGTCATGCCGGCCACATGACCACAGAAACATCTTTGGACAGTGCTGGCTCTTCGGCTTGGAAACGGAGATGAGCACTCCCCCCTAGAGTTGGATTTGACTGGCTTTTGAGCAAGGGAAACCTTTACCTTTACCTTATAGCCCAGGGAACCAATGCTCCCTCTAAGCTGTGGATTTTTGTGAGCAAAAATTCTATTTTGTGAGCTACTGGCATTAAAGTTGTGAGCCAGCGATTTGGCTACTGCATACATTAGTTTGCTCTGGAGCCCTCCTTCCTGAACTAAGATAAAAATGTGTGAGCCGGAGGCTAAAGAACTGTGAGCTAGCTCACACTAACTCAGCTTAGAGGGAACACTTCAGGAAACCCTTCCTTTTTGCAGCCCTGCTTGGCTGGGTACAGCAAATTAACAAAACATAGGCCCCTGCCACACGCAGGGGAAAAGGCGCTTGAAGGCGCGGCTTTTAAAAGCCGCGCCAATGTTGACACGGCGCGGCGGGATCCCACGGATCCCCCGGCCGCGCCGCCTTTTCTCCCCGGCGCGATCAAACGCCGGGGAGAAAACACGCCCTACCCGGGGGCCGGCCGAACTGCGCATGTCCGAGCATGCGCAGTTCGGCTCCGGCCCGGGGTTGTGCCGGCGCAATCAAACGCCAGCTTGTCGCGCCGCGTCCTATTGAACCACCCAAGGTAGGTGGTTCATTTTGCGGCGGTTCTTCCCGGGTTTGGGCCAGTTCAGGTGCGGAAGCAGGACGCTTCCCAGATGTGGTGGTGTGATCGCGCCGGTTTGATCCGGCCCCGAACTGGCCCGCTCCCGGACCAAATCGCCGCGTGTGAACGGGACCATAGATCCCAAGGTTTCCGGTTCTAGCCTTGGCACCTCCTGACATCTGAATGTCAGGTGGAATTCTGCAGGTCCTGAATGGATTTCAGGTGTATTATGTAATCTGACTCATGAGGAAACAGGAGTGGGGTTTTTTTTTCAAAGAAGAAAAAATATTTTTAAAAAGGATAGCAATAAAAGAAAGACACAATAGCGTTTGGTATCATAAAGCACCAAGGCAACATCCAAGTAGCTCTAAAGTTGGTAAATTACAGTAATGGCCCTTATCAGCTCCGTGAAGTGCACAAGCCCTTCTCCAACCTTGACTAATGGCACCATAATTAACTGCCCGTCACTAGGCAACCACACAGCTTCTATTCTTTCCCCCCTCCCTAAACACTCAAAGATTGATTTTTTGCATATATCTTTCCCCTCCCTCTTTGAGGGCTAACTAATAACATGTGTCAATATTTTCTAATAAATGGGTCTCGGAGCAAACTCTGAACTGCTAAAACCTTGGGGAAGATTATAGACCTCCTTCCACCAGAACAGTAATTTGGGGTAGAGAAAAAAAAACTCACACACAAGGCATCGTTTCCTAGGGGGACGAGGAATGCCCCGTTGTCTTCTCGAATGAGTCCGAGGCCAAAGGACACGGCCCATTTGTAATGCCTTCATTTCTCCCAGATTACAGCCCAAAGCGGAAGGCGTGTTTGACTTTATAACAGGGGTTTCCCATCTCTCCGAATCTGCTTAGTAGAGCAATGTGTCCTGTTTTCCCGCTGTCTGCTCTTCATCTCAATGCCTCCCAGCGAAAACATAGGCCGAGTTCAGACTGGCAATTTAAAGCGCTAGGGAGTCGTGGCAAAGAAAACCCGGAACAGACCTGGAACGGCTTGTTTGCGGTATTCCCGTTCACACTGCAGTGAATGAAGCGTGAGGATACCGTGGAGGAAGCACAAGGGAGCGTTCACACTGTTGGGCCATCCTGTTAGTGGCTGTTTCCATGCTGGGCTGTATGCGCCTATGCGCATGGGCACATGGGTGCATGGGCACAGTGGCAAATAGGGCAGGATCGCGCAGGCACCAAAGGCACCTGCCCGCGGACACAGCTGGTTCCTATCATCAATGACTGCGGGTTGTTCCCGCCTTAGCAGCGCTTGCGTTCACATTCAGGGAACCGGACTCAACGGGCTGTATACACGGTTTGCTACCACTTCCACCAGGTATCTTTTAAACTCGGGTGGGAAGCGGCACAAGACGGCTTGAGTACAGCTGAGGGACGCCTGAAACATGTGGCTGTGTGAACCCGCCCCTTTAAGCCGCTACTGAAATGCTCCTCAAACGTTTGCCTGTCGGGCCAAACTGCCAGTCTGAACGCGGCCATAGAGTCAGAGTTGGAAGGGGCTATACAGGCCCTCTACTCCAACCTCCTTCTCTGTGCATGATCAGCCTAAAGCATCCCTCACAAGTGATTGTCCAGCTGTTGCTTGAAGACTGCCAATGAGGGGGAACTCACCACCTCTCTAGGCAGACCATTCCATTCCTGAACTATCTTATGGTTTAAAAAAAAAAATCATAATATCTAACTGGTACCTTTCCGCTTGTAATTTAAACCCATTACTGTGATTCCTAATGCCTTTCATGGATTTCCCAGGACCTAGTTCAGAAGAAGAAGAAGAGGAGGAGGAGGAGGAGGAGGAGATTGGATTTATACCCTGCCCTTCACTACCCAAAGGAGTCTCAGAGTGGCTTACAAACTCCTTTCCTTTCCCCTCCCCACAACAGGCACCCTGTGAGGTAGATGGGGCTGAGAGAGCTCTGACGGAAACTGCTCTTTTTTAAGAACATGTGTGCCAGAACTATGGCTTGTCCAAGGTCATCCAGCAGGTGCAAGTGGAGGAGTGGGGAATCAAACCAGGTTCTCCCAGATTAGAGTCCGCGCAATTAAGATAGTGCAGTTAATCTATTGCTAGACTGTCCCCCATCAAACTTAAAGAAAAATTTTCTAAAAATCCCTGAACATAGAAATGTAGCAGCCAAGGGAATGGCTCTAGCCTACTTTTCTACTTGAGGGGATAGCTTTCGATAAGCAGCAATTCCCCCCCCCTTGCCAGAATACAGAAACATTCAGCTAAGGATCTGCCCATCCAGAAAAAGGTTTCTCAGCTTCTCTGCTGAACCAGTGGATTCCTATTAAAAAAAAGACTGGCCAGTGCCATGGAGCCCTCCTTTGACTGAGGATGTAACACTAATCATGTCTATTTTGATGATCATCGGGCTTCCACCAACCTAGTCACCTGCAGCAAGTAAAGATCACTTCCAGGCAACCAGGCAGGACTGGCTTTGGCCACAAATGAGTAACCTAAACATGTGTAAGCTGAGCAGACTCCCATACATTTTTTGTAGGCTAACAGACGTTTGTGGACATTCATACGTTAGTAATTTGACTCGATCCTCCAAACCACTATTAGATGAGCTGGGCACGTGGAACATGAAGCTGCCTCGTACTGAACCGGAGCCTTGGCCCATCAAGGCCAGTTCTGAACACCAGCTTGAATACAGGAGAAGTCAATAGACAGATTCAGGAGAACAGAGAGGAAGGTCCGACTCTTGAAGCTGAGTCTCTCCGAACATCCTTGAGGCTGAGAGTTGTATGATATCCCACCTTTCTGTCAAGGAACTCAAGGCAATTTAAATGGGGAGCCCATGAAAGGTCCCACCCAGGCACTGATCAGGCTCAGGCCTGCTTTGCTTAGCAAGGTGAGGGTTGCCAAACTCCAGGTAACACCTGGAGATCTCACTGATCTCCAGAAAACCAAGATCACTTCCCCTGGAGAAAATGGCTGCTTTGGAGGATGGACTCCTTGGCACTGTACCCCACTGAGGCCCCTCACCTCCCCAAACCCCACCCTCCCCGGGCTCCACCCCCCAAATCTCCAGGTATTTCCCAACCCAGAGCTGGCAGCCATATGTAACATAAGAACATAAGAGATGCCAATGTTGGATCAGGCCAAAGGCCCATCCAGTCCAACACTCTGTATCACACAGTGGCCAGAAATACCAGTGCCATCAGGAGGTCCACCAGTGGGGCCAGGACATTAGAAGCCCTCCCACTGTTGACCCCCCCAAGCACCAAGATGACAGAGCATCACTTTTACCAGACCAAGAGTTCCTATCTATACCTTGTGGCTAATAGCCACTGATGGACCTCTGCTCCATATGCTTATCTAATTCCCTTTTGAAGCCGGTATCATGTCCTTTCAAAATTATGTCCTGCACAGTTCAAATTACGGCCGGTATAGTTCCAGAAAATTCCAACTCAACATGCCTCCAAATAGAATCAAAACGTTTGTCCGCCAAGAACATTCCAAGTTCAGATAGCAAAGAGCTTGTCTTACCATAGCCAATGGAAGAACACCGACCAACTCCTTCTGGCTTATGTAGATCTTGGAGATACCGAGGTCAGATGTTCTACCTCCGGGATATTCCACTTGCCACGTAATAAGCTGGGTCTCTGGCAGGTCGCTAAGTTCTTCAATCTCAAAACTGATTTGCATGATCTCAGAGGGAGGAGCATCCGTGCTGGAGGAACGGGAAGGGATCATTAGAATGGTGAGCAAACCAGTGGCATCATAATTTATTTATTGACAAAATTTATATTCCACCTTTCTGCCCACAGCTAACAATTAAAAACAGAATGATAGAAACAGGGTCTCCAGCCTTTTTGAGCCCATGGGCACCTTTGGGATTCTGACACTGTGTGGTGGGCCGACAAAATGGCCGACAAAATGGCCGACACAGAAGGTGGAGCCAAACGTGAAATGACTGTCACAGGAGGCGGTGCCACAGAGAGAGAGAGAGAAGAGGAGGAGGAGATTGGATTTATACCCCACCCTTCACTCAGAGTCAGAGCAGCTTATAAACTCCTTTCCCTTTCCCTCCCCACAACAGACACCCAGTGAGGTAGGCAGGGCTGAGAGAGCTCTTTCAAGAACAGCTCTGACAGAACGATGGCTTCAACAAGGTCATCCAGCAGCTGCAAGTGGAGGAGTGGGGAATCAAACCCGGTTCTCCCAGATTAGAGTCCGCACACTTAACCACTGCACCAAACTGGAAGGCCAAGTGCAGGGGAGAAGAAGGGTAATTAAAAATACACTGGGAACGAGGCATAAGAGAGAAGAAAACAAACACTGCGGTGGGAACTGCCACTGAAATGTTGCTATTTTAATCCACATAGCCAATCAGATCTTCAGTGGCTAATCAGAAGCCCTGCTCTGAAAGAGCCTCACCCACTTTCTAAAAACACTTGGCAGGCACTCAGAAAGGTTTCAACGGGCATCTCCCTGCTGGGGACCCATATATAGAACAATCGTAAAACCAGTTACAACCAAGAGTAATATACATATATAAAAACACGAGCCAGCGTTGAAAACATAGGATGGGAAGAAGGGGTTGCCGAGGGAACCCTGGGCATAACAAAAATGTCTTCATCCACTGGTGGAAAATAGTGATGGAAGGAAACAAATGGTTATCCATGGGATGGAGTTCTACCATGTTGGTGCCATGGCCAAAGAGCGGGTAGCAGTGTGTCGACTTGACACATCATGAGAATCTGCTCTACACCGATGTCGCTGACCTCTGCTTGGAAAGGGCACCACACATTAGGTCTGTATAGATTTCTGCCCCCCAGGCCAGTCCAGGGATGGGGGAAAGAATTCTACACTGGCACAATACATTACTCAATCACCCAGAGAGATAGGCTCTCTGGATTTAAACACAATAGCCACCAGGAACCTCTAAGCTTAACCCCTCACCAACCTGAGATTAGAGATCCCCAGAATCTCAGTTGGCATGTGGGTTTTACACATTAGCAACTCTGTCCAGAGCTGCACAGTTACTCTTACACGGTAGCACAATTGGTCAGCGGTTTAGACTGAAGGATTCAGTTTGAAGTCCAGTTACACATCAAAACAGACACTATTTATAAACAAGAATAAGGGTTTATTCAGTAGAGAACTTGCAATCAGACTAAGAGGATTCAAAAGAACAGCCTAGGCAAGTTTTGCCTTAACTACACAGTAAGAAGCATATTTACCAACATCAGGTAGCGTCCAAGAGTTCAATATTGTCCATTGGAAGAGTCCCAGTATCTTGAGAAACAATAGTTCCATCCTTGCAAGCACATGGTCAGCTCACAAAGGAGTCCTTTGTTCTGCCCGGGACAGCATTTTCCAGGTGCAATTCAACAGTAGAGAGAGCAAGAGAAAAATCTGACTCTCCTCCAAGGGTCAGACAATTAAGAACCCCAATCTAATCATGACTAGCCATGGCCATTAGCCAATCACGGGTAGACAGGGGGTGTCCAACTTTTGGGTTGTCATGGCAGTGGATGGGGGATAACTTCTGAATGGTCAGAGCTCTGAAGGACACACCCGGGTCATGTGCCCTCCCAAACTCTAACCACTCCTCTATGCTTTACGTGACTCCTGACATGTAGGCACAGCCAGGTGCCATCAGGTCTAGCTCTTCCATCTAGAGTGTGAAGAATGTGTGGTTATATGGCAGGCAATTGACCAGATGGTCAGCCATCTGGCTGGCAACAGGAAAGCAAGGTATCAGAAGACATTCCAAGGGGGGAGGCAGGGGTCTATAGGAATCAATATTTCTATACAAGGTCCACTTAATTAACTGTGGAGGGGCTGTGGCTCAGTGGCAGAGCATCTGCTTTGCATGCAGAAGGTCCCAGGTTCAATCCCCAGCATTTCCATTTAAAAGGACTGGGTAGCAGTTGATGTGTAAGACCTCTGTGTGACACCCTGGACAGCCACTGCCAGTCTGAGTAGACAATACTGACTTTGCCGAACCAGAGATCTGATTCGGTAAAAGGCAGCTTCATGTGTCCAGTTTTAAGCAGAATTAAGTGGTATATCATTCCCCCCCCCTCGGATAGTACCAGTTCAAAGTTCAGGTAGGGGAGGCGCTGGGGTCTCAGACTCAGGTCACAGGGGGAGCCAGGGCCCAGTGCGATCCAAGGGCCGCCATCCCTTCAGGCAAGCCTGAGTCCAAAAGAAGCCACAGCGCCATCCCACAAGTGGCCACTCTGGGAACTGCAGTCTAGGCGACCAGCTGAAGCAGCTGTCTGACAGTACCGCTATGGTTGCGAGCTGGAGGTTTTGACATTCCTGGAGATTTGGGGGGGGGTAGAGTCTGGGGAGGATGGGGTTTGGGGAGGGGAGAGACTTCAGTGAGGTGTAACTCCACAGAGTCCACCCTCCACGCTGCCATTTTCTCCAGGGCAACTGATCTCTGTAGCCTGGAGATCTCCAGCTACCACCTGGAGGTTGCCAAAAACAAGAGGGGGAGCCAGTGTACAGTACAAGGAACAGCAAAGAACACACCACTGACTGAAAATAAATGCACAAGCAAAATAGCAAGTATATAATAATCATATAAGCATAACAGCAAGTATAATATGAATCAATTGGCCAAGGTGCAATAATAAAGCATAACAGAAGCACAGTCTGCAGTCTTTCCATGTGTCTACTCCAAATGTTCTGGAAGAAAATAATTCATTCACCTTCTATAAAGTGGATCAGGAGCAGGGCAGGAGTGAGGGCACAGACCCCAGGAAAGTTTGCAAGGACCTGTATGCAATAGCATTCTCCTGCTGTTTGTCCTCCCTGTCTGGTATTCATATGTTGTTATCATTTCTGACCATGGAGATTCCAATTGGCTATCATAACTGATAGGAGAATGCCTCCAAGGGACAAAGCTGGGCTGGAGCATTCAGGAAGAATCTTAGGTGGGCGGGACTGAGGGCAGAGGTGCTGGGACCTTCGATGCACTTTAGCGATTTTCACACAGTAAAAACCAGTTGCAAAGTGCCTTGGAAGTGGATTGAAAGTGCATTATTCAGTGTGTGCGAAAGTGTCCAGAGTAGCAGCCTTCTAAATCCATTGAAGCCAATGAGCTTAGAAGGGTTTAACTCGGCTTAGGACTGCACCATACCAACTGGGACAGGACAGGGCCGATTTAAGCGTGATTCTGGTTATGCAAACCCTTTCCCAGTGCCATTTGTCATGGACTGGGCACCTCGTTTCGAGTCCACTGTAACCCACGCAAAGCAGCTAGGAATGCTCGGTTAGCATGCCAGTACAATACCCACCAGGCTACGGATCTCTGGCATGCACACCAAGCTCATGCAGCTACTTTGTATGCATTGCAGCACATTCAAAATGAGATGCCGAGCCCATGCAAAGTCACCCAGGGAAGCGACTGCACTGCCGGCAGCATCGTGTTTAAATAGGCCTTTACGCAGCGACAAAAGCTAGGCGTTCGGCTGCGTCCCAGGGCTGGAAACCCACCAAGCCCTTGTTAAAAACTCCAAACAAACAACAAGAAAATAAGAATCGTCGTGTGCTGCCGAGCAGCAGGTAGAAATTGGAGAACAGCAACGACAATTGGAATAATTTGCTTTTTAAATAAAGAAACACTATTATAACCATTTTCAGGCCAAAGCAATAACAAACGGAACGGCTGCACAGCAATCTTTTCAGCCTGTGCTGAAAGCATTCCATCTCCCCGCTTGGCGACTGAGCTAGCGCAGGTGCCCGCACTGCTGAAGTCCGGCCATCGAACTGCGGATTCGGCACTGAGATAACCTCGTCAATGTCCCACCATCTCACCCAGCCGCTATTTCCCACCAGGAAGAAGGCGGCTACCGAATTTTGACGGCTTGACAATTCCCATTCCAATTCTGCTTCTCGCCTTGTGCAAATCGAACTCCCGCGTCTACATTTTCACACCATTTTCTGATTTGTCACACCCATGTCTACCCATTACCTTCCAACAGTTTGAACATTACTTTTGCACCGGTTGCATACAAATCGGGGATCACAGGTGCCCGTGATGGAGACAGGTTTTCTTTTTTCCCCCTGATTCTGCTGGTGCTTTGAAGAACTGGATACTGGGTAAATCTTCTCTGTTTGAATTTTTATTGATTGTGCATCAGTTGCTTTGTACACTCTTTGGTTAGCGTTGTTTGGTGAGCTGCCTTGAGCCTCTAGGATGATGGGAGACTCCAGGCCTTTTCCTAGACATTCACAGCATGAAGGAGGTGATCAAAGACCCTTCTTCTGGCCAATGTAGTGAGAAAGGGAGGGAGTGAGTGAGTGAGTGAGTGAGGGAGGGAGGGAGGGAGGAATGGAGGGAGGGACAGAGGGAGGGAGGGACAGAGGGAGGGAAGGGAGGGAGGGAGGAAAGGAAGGAAGGAAGGAAGGAAGGAAGGAAGGAAGGAAGGAAG